ATTTGTGAAGTTTAAAGAGTCACTCTGTGAAAAATTAGCTTAAATTCGTTTCAATTAAAAATAACATTCTTTGCCCTTTCGTATATACATATTCCATACATTTTTACAAAAAAGAAAAAAAATAACTACGATCCTACAAATATCGTGTACTAATAATTACAATCCAAATACGCATGAAAATTTATTTTTAATTAGACAAATATTTCGTTAAAAGAAAATAACAAGGGAAAAAAGAATAACTAATAAGTATAATAATAATAATAATAATACTACTACTGTTTAACGTCGATACTTTCGGAACACGTAATATTATTGTATAATAACTTGAAAATAACGTCTTGTCCGTATACAGGACAGGTAGATAGAAACTGTTTCTTTCGCGATGGTGACACGCAGCCGATTCGCAGGGACACGAAAGGGTCCCCGGAGAGAAGCGTGGAGAAAATACAGGAATAGTAAGCAGCCATTGCTGTTGGTGGTGGACAGTATTCACGATGCATCGTACAACAGTAGCCTCGATCCGTTGGTAACGACGTAACGACGTCGAGACGCGTTCTACCCTTCATCCCCCTTACCCTTACCCTTACTACCACCCCACACCCTAACCCTTCTATCTTCACCATCAACCATCTCTCTTTCTCTCGCACATATATTCATCTATCTATCTATCCAACTATCTCTCTCAACACACACACACAGAGAAACACATGCAGCTTAGAATTTCGCATCGCGTTGTGCCAGGACGAACACGTAATGGCGGTCGATGCACGGAAATAGGAAAGAGAGGCCAGGCCCGACCCTCTTTCTCTCTCGTTCATCTCTTTGTGTGTGTATGTGTGTTTTGTGTGATACAAGAGCTTCACGCCATACTTCGCTTTACGAATGCATCGTTGTACTTGCACTCACCGCGTTCTAACTGTAGGACGTTCTATTTTCTCACTTGTGCATAGTCTAGGAGACACGAGGTGCATTCTATCCCCCCTCTTCCTCCTCCTCCTCCACCACCACCACCACTCTCACTCGTTTCGCATTTCTTTAGAATTTTTCCTTCCCTCGCGCGATATCTTTTTCCTTGATCGTCTGTACCTCTCTCTCTCTCTCTCTCTCACACACACACACACACACATTACTTCTCTTATCTCTTTCCTCCTTTTTTTTGTTCATTCTTCTCGCGAATACCTAACGGCGTTCTATCTCACGCACACTTTCCTCGCATCGTTCGGCATCCCACTTTTTTTCCTTATCGATATTATTTGAGAAACGAATTTCCGCGTTTTTTCCCTACCTTTCCTCCACCCGCCCCTCCCCCACACGTTCCCGCGAAAATCGAATGTAATTCATGTAAAAATATTTCGTGAAATATTCAACTGGAAATGGAGAAAAAAGAGTGGAGAAGAAGTTTCTCTCGATCATGGTACGCTTAGAAGTCCGCCTTCCGATCATACCACCCAACCTTCCTTCTTTATGTCGAATAATATCCTGCAAGGATACACGTTATATGTATGTATAATAATACATGTATCTTCTATGTATGTATATACTTATCGTATACAGATATATATATATATATATATATATATATATATATTTCTTTCCTTCGTTCGTATCTACCATCAACCCCCAACTCTAACCATCGTTTCACACCCCCTCCCCCTCCCCCCTAGCCCGCCTTACCATCCTTTCCTTGCTCCGACGTTCCTCTTACTTCGTTTTCTCATCGTACCTTCTTCTCGCGTGCCTTGTGCTCTTCTTTTTTTTTTTTTTTTTTTTATCTCCTCCCACGTACTCCTTCTTCAGTACCATAGCAGCAACTCACGCCTTCGCACAACCGAGAGAAGATAAGCTATGCGCGTTCAATTTTCTCATCATATATACCTCAGATAGCAATCTTCATCCCCTATTCCTTATTATTCGTTTTTCTCTTTTTCTTACTTTCTTCCTTTCTTTCTTTATTTATTTATTTCCTTTCTTTCTTTCTTTCTGAAAGAGAACAGACAGTATAAATTTTTACGATCGTTAACAGACATTCTACTTTATTCTCAAGGGACTACTCTCCGTTAGTCTATGGAATCGTCACGGACAGGGGAATGGGAACTAAAAGGGGAGAAAGAAAAAAATCAAGAAGATACGAATAGTCAATTTAGCTTTGACAAAAAAAAAAAAAAAGAAATTCGAAGAAGAAGCCCTTCACTTCTACGTTTATTTTTGCGATGATAACCTATAAGAGATAAATTTGAATACATGCACATTTGACCGGTTTCCTACTTTCCCTTTGGTTTTTATTATTATTTTTTTTTTTTTTATTTGTAACCTCCTTTTTCTTTCCTCTCTTCTCTCTCTCTCTCTCTCTCTCTCTCTTTATTCTCGTTTTTTTTTCTTTTTTTCTTTTTTTTTTACAATCGATTCCGACAGTGGCACACGATCCGCTGCACCTGTTGCTCGCATCGTCGTAGCCCGGATACGTTGTATCCGGAACTACTACCGCGGAAGTCGCTGCCTCGTTAAACTTCGTTTCAAGAGAGAACACAGGGAATGTGTCTCCCCCGTAATAATAATATTTTGTTACTTTCTCAGTCAGAATTCAATTGAATTCTTTTTGATTTTGTTTTTTATTATTTTTCTCAAATGGAAGAATCAAATTTTTCTCAAAAATATAATATGATATATCGGCTTTTGTTTTTTGGTTATTTCTTTTTCCGTTTAATCGATCCCAAATTTTTCCGATATGACTTTTTTTCTTTTGCTCACCTTTTCTATATTTGTTTGTATTTCTTCTTTTCTTTTTCTTTTTCAAATCGTACAGAAATATTTCGTAAAGATTTTTCTAAAACATGAACATTAGTATTACGTACACGTGTATTACACGTTATTCTTATATTCTTAGGTTGTTCATAAAGAAGAATAGTTTCTCGTAAGAAGTAGAGGAAACGCGAGAAATGTACATGTAAGAAGTAACGTACATATAAAAGTCGTACGACCCGTACCCGTACCCGTAACCGGGAGTAGGTCGTTGAAATATTAGTTCGCGTCTTTGCACTCAGACCTAACCCACACCCGCCCCGACTACTTTTGCACCGACCCACTTCCCTTTTCTTCTTTTCATCCTTTCTTCAATTCTTAGAAGTTAAAGCCAAAGGCGCACCTAACGAGGATTCAAATGAATTTCATAATTCCAGAAAAAAAGAAAGAAAGAAAGAAAGAGAAAGAGAAAAAAAGAAAGAAAGGTGGAAAGGGATGGAAAGTAAAAAAAAAAGGGGGGGGATGACGAAAGAAGCAGTTAGTGCCGGGCAATGTCGAGTCATTCGAATTTATTAGATAATTATTTTTCTTTCTTCTTTTTTTTTTGTTAATTTCCCTTCTATCGTTATATTATATCGAACACGATATTTATTTATTTTATTCGTCTAATAATTATTTACCGACTCGTTTTTAATTTTCCATTTTCATTTTCCTTTCCTTTCTTTCCTTCTTTTTTTTTTTCTTTTACCGTACTAACATTAATTAGCTGGATATTTAATTAAATGTTAGAGAAGGTAAGTGGTTAGAAAGAGGGTAATAGATAGTTATATCGTAATTGAAAAGAACATTCGAGTAAATAGCAATCGGTCAATTTCTATATAGAATCTGTTACCCTGTAACATTTAGTCACTCACGATTTAATCGAATCGTGATAGTATGGATGGACGCTTGTGTAATTTAATTTATTTGCCTTCTCGAAACTTGGTCGTCTTAAACCAACATCTCTCGAAAACCAAGTCGATCCTAGTTAAGCAGCTCTCTCTCGGATCGACGAGTTTGTGAAGTAACGTTCAGAGAGAAAGAGAGAGAGAGAGATAGATAGATAGATAGATATAATATGAGCTATAGTAAGAGAGAAAAAGAAAGATAGGAAGAGTTATAAGGATACGATAAATATACATTTCTTGGAAGTTAAAAACTACATTAAAAAAAAAAACTATCGGTAAAAGAAATATAAATCATTCGGATCTTTAGTTTCGCATAAAAATATTTAACATAAGAAGGATCGATTATCGCAAAATTGTTACGAACAAAAGTTATTAAAAGTATAATATATTTAAAAAAAAAAGAAAGAAAAAATAGTTGTATCAGGTATCCAAGTATTTTATGCATAAACCATTATATAACAACAACAAAATGAAATACCCTCCCTTAATATTATTTCTTTGATATACGTTTACGTAAAATGCTACTGAATGATCGATTTGTTAACAGTTAGACAAAATTTAGTAATACTAAAATGTAAAACTGTAATATCTAATTAAAAGTTTTAATATAGTATATTCTTCGGTATGTCGGATAACGTAAAAAGGAAATAAGAATAATAATAAGAAGAAGAAACCCTAATAGTAAATTCCTTTTACAATCTTCTATATATCATAATACAGTTAAGTACCTAAATAATTATATCAAGAGTCTGAGTTTATTTTGTACGAAGTAGAAAAGAAAAAGAAGAAGGAAAAAGAAAAAAGAAAATATAAAACCATTATTATTATTTCTTTGATATACGACCGGAGAATGTAAAACGTTACAAAAGGATAACTAAGAATGATCGATTTGCAACTGGTTAAACTTAAAGTTAGAGTATTACATTATAACCAATGTTAAACTATATAATATCTAATTTAAAGTCTTACACAAAGTAAATATAGTTATATCAGGGTGTCGGATTGCGAAAGAAGAAGAATAATAATAAGAATAATAATAATAATAATAAGAAAAGGCAAGCAGTAAATTCCTTTAACAATTTTCTATCAAAAATACAATACAGTAACAGTACTACACTTACCAACGTAACAGTGGGGTTTAAAGTAAGTTTGACGATCGTGGGAGTGGTGAAGAAGAAAGAGGAGGAGAAGGAGATTGGTAGAGGGTAGTTTGAGGTCTCGTGCGAAGAGACCGCGCGTCGACTCGCAAAACAGTGGTGCTTAAACTAAAGGTACTTTTCAACTAAGTTATACCTTGGTCTTGACTGTCTGCAGGTTCCCTGGGTACCTCGGTGTTCGACACTGACGTCTATCTGGTCGGAGCGAGTGGTGGCGTTTATGCTCTTCTAGCCGCTCATCTAGCCAACGTTCTTCTAAACTACAACAATATGGAGTTTGGCATAGTTCGACTTATCGGCATCTTCGTCATCGGTAAGTAAAATAGTAGTAGTAATAATAATAGTAGTATATCGTAGGATCAAACAAACGAACACACTGAATCACAATATCTTTTCTCTTCTTTTTTCCCTTTTGGCCATCACCCCCACCCCCACCCCCTTTTTCTATTCTTTACTTGAGTCCACCAGGACATTCATAACGTTTCACTCTCTTCTTCTTCTTCTTCTTCCTCCTCCTCCTCCTCTTCCTAGGACCTTCTCTTATTTCCCAAAGGAAAACGTTTGCTGCTTTTACGCCGATAGAAACTTTTGACATTCGTAGAAAGTTCAACGTAACTTTGTTTTTTTTTTTTTTTTTCTTTTTTTTCAACTACGAAATGATTTACACGCTATTGATTTTTTTTTTTTTTTTTTTTTTTCGGTTTTTTATATATATAATAGATAAT